CCCGGCTCCTCGGCAAACAGCAGCGACAAATCTGGGGCGGAAAACAGAGAAATTGGAAAAAAAACCAAAAAATAAATTATCAAAATCGGAGAAAAAATGGGGGGAATACAAGGGAAAATGGGGAAAAATGGGGAAAAATTGGGGAAAAAATGGGAAAAAATGGAGGAAAATGGGATTGGGGATATTGGGGAAAATTGGGAAAATTGAGGAAATTAGAAAAAAAAGGGAAAAAATTGGGGAGAAATGGGGAAAAATGGGAAAAATCAGGGAAAAATCAGGGAAAAATCAGGGAAAATGGGGGAAAAATTGTGGGCAATCAAGGGAAAATGGGGTAAAATGGGGAAATTGAGGAAAATTGGGGTGGCACTGACGGTCCACGCCGGGCTCCGCGGGCACGGTGACCGTCATCCCGCAGTTGCCGGCAAATGCCATTTCCAGCAGACAGCTCAGGAAGCCCCCGTCGCTCACGTCGTGCCCGGCGCTCAGGACGCGCTCTGGGAAAGAAACGGCATCGAAACGGCATCGAAACGGCTCCCAAAATTCCCCCCGCCCCCCATAAACCCAATATTGCCACAAACAATGCCCGAAAATTTCAAAAAATTCCCCCAAAAAACACCAGAACCACCAAAAATTTCACAGAACCCCCACATCCCTGGAATTCTCCCCAAAACCCCTAAAAAAAAACCTAAAATCCCCAGAATTTTCCCCAGATTCCCTGAAAATCAACCTAAACCCCCAGAATTTTCCCAAAATTCCCCCGAAAACCCCCCCAAAATTTCCCCAAAATCCTCAGAAATCCCCCCAAATTTCACCTTTGAGCAGCTCCTGGGTGACAGTGAAGGCGCCCTCGAGGCTCCCGGGCTCGTCCAGGTCGGGGGGGGCGTCGCCCACCTGGGCAAACACCTGGGCCAGGGCGGAGCCCCCCAGGCGGTGCCGGCCTGGGTTCAGCTGCACCCACAGCAGGGCCCCTGGAAAACGCAAAAAATGACCCAAAAMCCAAGAAAATCGACCCAAAAATGAGGGAAATAGAAAAAACCCGGAATTGGAAAAAAATCCCAGGGAAAATGGCCAAAAATGGACCCAAAATGGAGCCAAAACCACCTGGAATCTAAATTACTGAAAAAACCCAAAATCGGCAAAAAACCTGGATGAAAATGACCCAAAATGGATGCAAAATGGACCCAGAATGGCCCCACCCCCTTCACCCCTGGCCCCGCCCCCTCACCGCGCTCGTTGGGACATTTGAGGTCCGGAGTGACGGTGGCCGTGACATCGGGACAGACGGCATAGGCGGACAGAACGATGGACCCTGAGTGACCAGAGAGTGACCACGGAGTGACCAAAGAGATCTTAAACCTGATATCTGAGTGACCAATGAAACCTGACACCTGAAACCTGAGTGACCACTGAGTGACCCCTAACCAGTGACACCTGAGTGACCCTGAGTGACCCTGAGTGACCCAGAGTGACCACTGACACCTGAGTGACCCTGAGTGACCACTGACACCTGAGTGACCACTGAGTGACCCCTGAGTGACCCTGAGTGACCCTGAGTGACCACTGACACCTGAGTGACCACTGAGTGAACCCGTAACCAGTGACACCTGAGTGACCCTGAGTGACCCTGAGTGACCCTGAGTGACCACTGACACCTGAGTGACCACTGAGTGAACCCGTA